CCTAGTCCGTCTCGTCAGACGTGAGTTGCAAATTCTGTACTGGGAAATCAATTCCCAGGTGCAAGGAGCCCAATCCTGTTCAAGACTGCGCCATGTGGGGAGTGGGTATTTGTGCTTTCCTCCCATGCCATTTTCCTGTCCTGAAATAGCCCCCCCCGGGGGGGGGCTGTTTGCCCCACTAGGGAACCACAGGCACTCAGGTGTGGGATGAACTTTTCGCCAATATGGCAAATAGCATCAACTTCTGCGGGACTATTTCAGGTCTGGAAAACAGACCGGGAACGGGTATAAGCCTCCTTTCCTTGTGCACCATAGTCCCAATCCGAACCCGGCCCCTGTGTGCCTGAGAATTCAGCATGGAATTTGCAACCCCTGTCTGATCACACAGACGGAAGCTTCATAAAAAAGAAGGCCGAAGGGCTTAGAAAGGAGAACAAAGAAACTCTTGCCCAACAAACTTGTTGTGCTTTTAAATACAATTCAGGAATCAAGATGCAAAAAACCCAGAGGAGACTGGGAAACCATTCCCCACTACCCTGTTCTCATGATGCTATTTCCAAAGAGTGCTTAGTTTTCACTTCCTGTTCTTCAAACCACCCAAATGTTTGTATTTGAATATGTCCTTATAAATACCTGCTAGATCCAGAGCCTACCACCACGTCAACAAAGAAGAGGTTATCAGTCCAAGGAGGGCTGGGGAAACATCTCCCGCTTTGAACAGGTAGGAAATGGCAAACATCTGTCTCTCTAGACAGGAGATCTAATTTGTGACAGCGAAGGCTGGGGAAAGGGCCTTCCATAACACGATTAACAATTACCCTGTTTAGGCTACACAGATTGTTACAGCAAATACGCTGTGTCGTGGAAGACCCCAGCCAAACGGAGAGCTGTGCTGCTGAGAGATTAACTGGGAGCTCTGCGATGAGGAAGGGAGAATTTTGGCCAGTGCGGTGTACTTTACAACAGCACCAGTGTCGGTCTCCTCCCGTCCATGCAAGTGTTAACATCACAAAAGACTTGTGCTGTAGTGAATTTGGAAATCTGGGGAGAAATCTCCCTGTGTGCAAGTCCAGGTGAAAACAAATGTAACACGAAGGCAGGTGCCACGGCAAGTTCTTGCCGACCCACCCCCGATGGCAGCCTAGGAGGCTTTGCAACTTATGGGACAGGCTTCCCCGCCAGCAAACGGAAACCTGTTTCGGTTTGCCCCCTCTTTTATACTTCAGGCAAATTATGATCTGTGATCTGTTTTATCTGTCACTCTGAATACAGAATGAGAAAAGAAATTCAAAACTGTCCTGGGAATGGAAGGCTTGTGTGAATCGTTGCAGACACTAGCCAATCGGCACTTGTTCCCAGCTGGCTTCCCTCCCTTCTGCAGCAGAACGCTGCTCCCAAACCGGCCACCAACTACTCTGGAAGCGTGGCCTCGGTCTTCTGTACTGAGCCCCCACACATAATGTTGGGGTTGGATCCTGCAGAGCCGTTCCCTTAGCAGAAAGCACTTCCCTCCGGTAGGAGAGGGCTTGACGCACGACATCTCGCTCCTGCTGCTGGAGAAAAGGGCGCCCGCGAGCCGAATGGATCCACAGGATCCCACGCTTCGGCCGAGGGGGTCCCAAGAAGGGCAAATCTTGCTCTCATAAGAAGAGGGGTCCACAACGAGACCGCCCATATGAGGGCCGTGAGACATACTGGCAACTTTGTAACAGCAATACACGTTGCATCTGTCTCATGTCAAGTCAAATGTGTAGGGCAGGTGGACTCACGTTCTAGTGTTATCCGAAGAAGTGAGCCGTGACCCACGAAAGCGCCTCCCCTGCCACAACACAAGATTGCCACTGGACTCTTTTCTAATGTCAAATCTAACGTTTCCCCCCCTGAGTTGTTTACCATAAAAAGCCGCATGTGAATCAATGCATTAAACATTCCATTTCCCGTAACATGAAGAATGCACAGTCTAGTGAACAAGGTCTCCTCCACAAGACAGAAAGGCCAAAGAGAAGCTCTTCAGGAGAAAATCATATGATAGAAATGAAAAGTCAGTTTACGTTCTTGACCAATGTACTGCATTGCTTCAGGCAACGGCGTTGAGAGAGACAGGGTTCTTTTAAAGTTTCTTTTGCTACATGCTGTACAAATACCAGGTGACTTACCAGCCACAGAAAAGAGGGTGCAAGTTGTGAAGAACCATCAGAGAGATCCCATCCAAGCAGAAAGGACAGCAGTTCAAAAATCAAATAGCTACATTCACTACATTTTGAAGTGAGCAGAGTGAGAGAGCAGAGACAGAGAAGCAGAGTGCGTTTCTTTTGAAGGAACAACAGAAAGTTCAGGTCAGACCGAAGGCAGGCCTCCTTATGACTCCCTCATACACAAAAAGGGTTTAAACCAGCCTGACTTACTAAGCACACCCTGAAGTTGCCTGAAAACTTGTGGCTGCACGTCCATAACAAGTAAGACTGACATAGTATGCAATTTATTCCTCAAAAACAGTGTTATGAAGAACTTCGAGGCTCCTCAGGACCCTTGTCATGGGCTCCTTGGTGATAAGATGGGCGGCCCCTGCTTCTGCAATGCCAGCCCCCCCTCCCCAGCTCACCCCGCAGCACCCCCCCTGCCTGGCGCCCCTCAGAAAGGGGGAAGTGCACCCCAAAATCCTATCTAGTGGGCTGGGATACTACAGCCAACACATGGGGGCTTCCCTACTGTTGGGTGTGTGTGTGTGTGGCTTCCCTGAAATTTGAAAAAGAACAAATCACCGAGATCATTATACCAAAACTCGATTCTCTTTCGAATACCACACGTCAGCCAGAGTGCAGCACCAACACTTCAAAATAATCTTTGAAATGGCTGAGGGGCCCAGTCTCCCTTCAAAACGCCAACACATGGGGGCTTCCCTACTGTTGGAGGGGGGGGAATGGCTTCCCTGAAATTTGAAAAAGGACAAATCACTGAGATCATTATGCCAAAACTCGATTCTCTTTCGAACACCCCACGTCAGCCAGAGTGCAGCACTAACACTTCAAAATCATCTTTGAAATGACGGAGGGGCCCGGTCTCCCTTCAAGATACAGGAGGCTGGAGAACATCTGGGTAGTAAGTCAGAACGAAAGAGCCATGTTATGCTTTACTCAGCCCCACAGGTACATCAGTGTCTGCCACACCATTAAGTGCGATGTGATGTTGTGTCCCTCCCGAAATGGGGTGGACGCACAACCCAGGAGCACAGACCAATCCTAACCATCTCTAAGGTGTCCGGTCCCGTCCCCAAAGAGTATGGGACTACGGGGCAACAATCCAACGCAGCTCTGCCTGGAACTCACTCCACTAAATTCCATGTGCCTTACTCCTTCCCTCCTCAGGGCCTACATCTGCCCTGAGGAGGGAAGGAAGACTTCCACACTTCTATCATTGCTCAGAACATGCGCATCAGAAAGAAAGGGTTGCAGTTTATTGCACTAACTGTATCACCTTCTCCTTATGGCACTGCTTCCTCTAGGGGGCGCACATTCGGATACAACAGAGCCAAAAAAATATACCTGGAAATACCTTTTCAGTATTTTTCAGGTACATTTCAGCATTCCAAAAATATCCAGCATTCTTTAGAAAGTAAAAAAAATAATAATCCAGGATATTGGGATTGTCTGGGAAGATCGGGAGCTAGCATTGCAGGGGCTCTCGGGGACTGTTTTTTTCTTTTTTGTTTCTCTGTCTCCTGGCTTCAATGGCTTTCATCCTGCTCTTGTCAGTTTCACGGGGGGGCATTCCTTTGTGTTTCCTTCCCATTTTCTTGTGCAGAGCTTTCAAAATCCCTCCTTGCCCCTTGCTTGGATTTGTTGTGGCTCTGTGCACTGAGATCAGTCCTTTTAAGCTTGCAGTGCCATAGTGCTGGGCATTCTGTATACTGAACTGCTGGGCTTGCAAACCTCCTCTCCTTGATCGGAGAGTGATCCTGTGCTCCACATCAACCCTGTTGAGCTAGCATTGCCGCAATGGCACTGGGTTTTGCTGGGCACTATATACTGCACTGGTTCTGCTGGGATTCCAAACCCCCTCCTTGCTTGGATTCATTGTGGTGCTGGCGTTGCCACAATGGCACTGGGTTCTGCTGAGCACTCTGTGATTCCACAGGTACTGCTGGGTATTCTGTGCATTGCATTAATTTTGCTGGGATTGCAAAAATGCCCCCCCCCCCATCAGTTTCTGCTGCAGTGATTCTATTGCCCTTGCTTTTTTGGGTGTTTTTTTCTGTTAGCAACAATGAAGGATGGGGGCGATTTCTTTGGGGGGGCCACAGAATTGGACCCCTGGTCCAAACTTTTTGAAACTTGGGGGTTCTTCTGAGGAGAGGCACCAGCAGCTATGCTGCAAATTTTGTGCCTCTACTTCAACAATCTGCCCTGACCCTTGGATACCCCTGGATAGATTCCCCATTGAGTATAATGGAGTGAGAAAATTCAGGATTCCTGAAAAATCCCAAATCCAAATACCATATTGATATTGGGATTCAGGAACATCGGGAAACACCAATACTTTTTCAGGTCCAATATACCTAAATCTGGAAATAATTATTTTTTTTGCATACCCCTAGTTTTCTCATTTTTGGAATCCAGTTTTTGCATTGCTTTATGGTATGCTATATCATGCCAGCTATTATTGCCCTATTTTCTAATTTTGTAATCTAGTCTCACTTCACTGTTTAATGAGCATCTTATGCATTTTTTTCTGCATTGGTTTGTCACCCGCCTCAAGTTCAGCAAGAAAGGCAAACTATAAATAAAGTAAATAAATAAATGTACCCATGGAGCTGCATAAAGTGGTCAACAATTCTACATTGGCATTTCTTAATTTAAGCAGCTTGCTTGTGATAGACGTCGCTTAGCTCTTCAGATGCCGTTTGTGTGACAGCTGCCACATTCAAAATATGCGAGTGCTGTAAACTGGCAGCTTGTATTTAAGGACAGTAGGCTGCCTGTATCTAAGAAGAGCTCTCTCACCTCGTCTTCCTTCAAACACATCGCTGATTTCTCTTAGCAACAGGAACATGTCGCTCAGCTGAGACTCCCAAGCCTCACAGAACACCTCCAGGTTCTCTTTTGCAATCTTACTGGAAGGATGGAGTGTCAAGGTCTCTGCCGCAGAAATTATCTGAAGGGAATAAAGCAGAGCTTGCCACGGCACACAAAAAATGGCTAAACCCGCATCATCGACCCCCGGAGGCCAAGCCCACAGAGCATCCCATTCATGTCAAGAGGGGCCAGGGAAGCATTCGCTCGGCAAACCTGGCCACACACAAAGGGAGAAGGCAGCCCTTGGCGCAAAACTGTTCTGAGCAAACAGCTCTAGTTGATGGGGGGGGGGGACGACCCACTTTCGTCTATTACTAATCATAAGGAATCAAATTCCAGGCCAGTTTCACAAATTGTTATAAGCACAGCCATCACTTCAGTTGCAGGAGAAAAACAAACGGAGCTTAAATGAAGAGTGCACTACTGCACTGTGCAATGTCGCAGCTATGGATCAAACAGTTCCTCCCCAGGAGCCCTCCTAAAAATGATCCCCTAATTTAATGTCCCTTTTGTCCCAAAGACAGAACAAGATGGGTAGCCGTGTTAGTCTGTCTGTAGCAGTAGAAAAGACTAAGAGTCCAGGAGCACCTGAGAGACTGATAAAATCTGTGGCAGGGGAGGAGCTTTGCTGAGTCACTGCTCACTTCTTCTTTTATTTTTTGCATCTTCCTGGACTGAATTCTCATGGACCAAATTGAGACTTAGGCTTCCTGTCTCATTACCAATGCCGGTATCTCCACACCTACTACCCCTCTGCATATCACACCTAATACAATCAAGCCTGCTATTGCCATTTGGCATCTGAAACCATCTTTATGCAGTTTATATCTCTAGTACCTTGTGTTACTTTTTATGGCCTGGCCCAACAAAGTGACATTTATGTCAGATCGGGCCCTTGTAACAAATGAGTTCGGCACCTCTGTTCTAGCTGTATCTGAAGAAGTGAGCAGTGTCTCACAAAAGCTCACAGCTGATCACAATTTTGTTAGTCTTTAAGGTGCTACTGCTTACTCTTTGTCCCAAAGATGTTTTGCTACTGTCAGCAAAGAAGAAGAGGAGGAGGAGGAGGAGGAGGAGGAGATTAACACAGCACTCGTAGGATCAGAAGAACACTATTCTCAGGAAGCCTAATTCAATTTGTGCCATTGGGACAGATTTGGTAGAGTGGTGGCAGAACTGGCAGCTCTTATCAGAACTATGGCTTGCCCAAGGTCATCCAGCCAGGTGCACGTGGAGGAGTGGGGAATCAAACCCGGTTCTCCCAGATTAGAGTCCGTGCACTTAACCACTACACCAAACGGGCTAAGGCTGCCATGGTTTGGAATGTGTGGGTTTCTCTCCTTGTCTCCCTCCTCCCATCCCCTTTTCCTCTTAGGCTGCGCGCTGTTATCTGTCCAGTGTCCTTGAAGGTTTTACTCTGCTTGCTCCTCTTTTCCCGCTGGGAATGTAACCGTTGCTTTTTGCCCGGGTCTTCAGGTGCTTGCCTACTGGCTTTACTCTATCAGGGGGTCATGTACGAAGGGGGTATATCTCAAGGTTCTAATCATTAGCCCGCCATTCCGGACACACAAGTGTTCCTGGTGCCCTGAGTACTCGCTCTCAATAAACTGAAACTTTTGAAGGAACGTTATTGAGTGTCTTGCCTGGGAAGCCTGACAGCTACTGACATAATATCCACGAAATCAGTGTGTATCTCTTAACACAGCACTCGTAGGATCAGAACAACACTATTCTCAGGAAGCCTAATTCAATTTGTGCCATTGGGACAGATTTGGTGGAGTGTTGGCAGAACTGGGTTTCAGTGGAGGCTGTAGATTAGTGGCGGCACACACGCTTTGCAGGATACAATCTCCACCCCAGCCCCTGGTATCTCTGGAGCGGAACCGGGGTACACGGCTGCCTAAGGCTCTCGACCAGTGTTCCCTCTAAGCTGAGTTAGTGTGAGCTAGCTCACAGTTTTTTAGCCTCTGGCTCATACATTCTTGTCTTGGCTCAGGAAGGATGGCTCCAGAGCAAACTGATTTATGCAGTAGCCAAGTCGCTCGCTCACAACTTTAATGCCAGTAGCTCTCAAAGTAGAATTTTTGCTCACAAGACTCCACAGCTCAGAGGGAGCATTGCTCTCGACGGCCAGAGAGTCGACAACCGCAGTATAAACATATCAGCAGCCTAACCTGAGAGGAGGCAATTTCACACACCCAGGCCAAATGAAAGCTCCAGACTGGTGTCAAAGGCTGGCTGGCTCCTGGCACATGGATACTACACAAACTGGCAGCGAATCTCCAGGGTCTCAGACTGAGGTCTTTCACATCGCCTACCATCCGTGGGAGATGCCAGAGATTGGACCGGAGACCTTCTGCATGCCGAGCAGATGTTCTACCACTGAGCCATGGCCCCTCCCCATAGGTTGCAAATCAGGAAGCAGCTTCCTTATGCCCCACCCACCCATCAGTTTCTTCTGCAGTGATTCTATTGCCCTTGCTTTTTGGGGTGTTTTTTTCTGTTGGCAACTCCCTTCTCTGCAGCGAATTCCTGGCTCTTCCTCCAGGTACGCGTTAACCACAGTTTAGTGTGACAATTGTAAGTGGTATTAACCATGGCCTGTTATTTTGTAGGAAGAGAAGAATCTGTGGCAGAGACAGTGGCCACAGACAGACTGGGAGGCCACCTCCACACGTATAGGCCCACGAAGTAGCTCCAGTCATCAGACCAGGGATTACTGGTCGTTCCCCCACTTACGTCAGCAAGAACCGCCACTGAGTGTTGGGCTGCCTCTGTGGCTGCAGCCTGCCCTGTGGAGTGGGCTACCCAAAGATGGGAGGGAAGCCCCCACCCACCTCGCACAGGCCTCAGAGGAAGCAGGTCTCTTTCCTCTTATCTATGCACTACCCATCAGCGTGATAGTGCTCTTGTTTTTAAATTTATGTATGATGATTTGAGTCGTGTGGAATGTAAGTATTTTAAATACAGAAATATAAGAAGGGAGAAATGCGCCTTTTCCTTGCGACACATCTGAATGATCAAGTGCAGAACAGAGAAGTTGATGAAACAAATCTACCCAAAAACAGTGAAAGATGACACACACCTGAGGCCCAGTCACCTTGAAAGTGTCTTCTGCGTGTAGGCAAGTGATTTCAAGCGGCTCCATCCCAGAGACGTGCCTCAGCAAACGACACAGCTACCAAAACACACAAAATAACACCCCAACAACCAGTTACAGAACGGCCAGTGAATCACATGCAACATTCTGGTATGGATGCCAAATAGAAAGCTCTTCTGGTTCACCAACCGCATCCACAAAGACAGCTTCAAGCTGGACATTTTGTGGATCTCTAAGAATAAGTCTGCCAAACATTAAGAAAAACGTGAATGAAGAGGGGGGATAATTAATTCTTCCCCACTCGGCACATCTTCCCCAAACTCTCCTCCTCCTGACATTCTCCCACCAACCTCAGCCAAGGTGCCCAAGGATCCAGGAGGCCAAGGAGGACCCCGGAGTCAGCCTCCTTGCCAACAGTTGCCACTGCACCTAGGTCACACTCCCCCCCCCACACACACACACAGGCAGGTGCACCCCCAAATAAGCAGAATTCAGGCTGCCCTAATGCACAGGGCAGACAAACGAACAAATGTGACTCCAACTTACTTCAAGCAACTGCTCCTTCTGCTCGGAGAGCTTGCAGCTGTGTTCCGCAACGGCTTCGATGTTTCCTTCCTCTCCAGAGGCTTTCAGCGCTTTCAAGACCAGGTGATCTGAATGATATTTCAGCAGGTCAGCGGCAACGGAGGTGGCTGCACCGTGGAGCTTTGGGATCAGGAGGGAGGGGGAGGGGAAACCCTGCTGGTTAGGACAGGCGCGCAAACAGCAGTCTTCCAAGTTGCTGGGTGCAAGTAAGAACTGCCTCCAGGTGACTAGCCAAAACACTTGGAAAGAGGAACCCTCCCTCCCCCCCACTAAAGGCCACAGTGACCAACAGGCAAGCAGGCTAGTTAATTGTTTGTTGCGGCAGTGCTGGAATAATATGGAAAACTGGTACGTAAGGAGCAACAAGAAAGAACAAGGGCGGGACTGAGGGGGGGAGTGGGCTGGGGGGAGAAACGACACCTGTTTTAGTAATGGGTGGCCCAATATTTCCATGCAGTCCTAAGTAAAGTGATACCTTTCTAAGCCCACTGACTTTAATGGATTCCTAAGGATGTAACTCAGCTTTGGATTGTACCGCTAAATAGCTCCTTACTACAACTGGGCAACCTTACCTGTGTGGGGTTCTCAGAATAAGGCCTTTTCCCAGGAACCCACCCCCCCGACCTATAGTGGCTCCTCCCTCCCCCTCCACAATGACAGCATGTTCTTCTTCTTTTTTTGCTAATTTATTTTCTTTTTTAAGAGAAGAAGAGAAGAGATTGGATTCATACCCCACTACCCGAAGGTGTCTTAGGGCGGCTTACAAACTCCTTTCCCTTCCCCTCCCCACAACAGACACCCTGTGAGGTAGGTGGGGCTGAGAGAGCTCTGACAAAAACTGCTCTTTTTCAAGAACAGCTCTTGTCAGAACTGTAGCTTGCCCAAGGTCATCCAGCCAGGCGCAAGTGGAGGAGGAGTGGGGGATCCAACCCGGTTCTCCAAGATTAGAGTCCGCGCACTTCACCACAACACCAAATATAAACAAAAAACCTTACATCTATTACAACATAAATTTTACAGAGAATCTTCCTTTTTTTAACTACACCAAGTTATACCATATTATTCAACTTCTTTATATTTTTATAACCACTCATACAATTTTTTCTAGTATTTCTCAAACTCCTTTTCATTTTTATCTTGAATGGCAAATACCAATTTTTCCATTTCTGCAACCTCTAAGATTTTCCTTATATATTCCTCTTTTGTTGGTATATTTTCATCTTTCCAATATTTTGCAAAAAGTAATCTTGCTGCAGTCAACAAATGCATGTTTAAATACATTTCTGTTCTATTATACGTGTCTGGCAAAAGACTTAACAAAAATATTTCTGGTTTGTTTTGTACTTCCATTCCCAAAATTTCTTCAATGATCTCTTTAATAGTTTTCCAATATTTTTTCGCTTTTTTGCATATATGGTAAAAAGTGCCTGTATTAGCCTTACACTTCCAACAGTTTTTTATTGTTTTTTGTTAATTTTATTAAGTCTATCTGGCATAATATGCCACCTGTAGAACATCTTCTGTAAATTTTCCTTAAAATTACTTGCTTTAACATATTTAATATTTCTCGTCCACACTTTAAACCACTCTTCTAATTCTATATTTCGTCCTATATCATGCGCCCAAGATACCATTGTTGGCTTCACCCATTCATCTTGCATTTTATACTCCAATAAGAAGTTATAAATTTTACTGATAACTTCTTCGTTATTTTTAATCCATATCTCATCTAAACCTTACTATAAAAGCCTATTTTCTTATCTTTCACCCATCTTGACTTTAATTGCACCTTTCCCCACCAGGTTAGGTTCACCTTATGTTTTTCCAACATATCTTCTGTCATTAAGTTGCCACTGTTGTCCAATAAATCTAGGTATCTCCATTTTTGGTATTTTACATACAATGAAGGCTTTACAAAGGCTTCTGTTGGGGAAACCCATAACGGTACTCTCTCATAATGTTTATTTTTAACTTCTTTCCAAATCTTATATAAAGCATCTCTTATCCAATTACTTGTCGGCATCTTGTTTTGGTACCATATATAGTTATGCCAACCTGACATCAAATCATGGCCTTCAAGTTTAAGTAATCTATTATTCTCTAAATTAATCCAATCCGTAATCCAACTAATTGCAGTAGCCTTATAATACAATGTCCAATCCGGTAGTGCCAAACCCCCTCTTTTCATAGTATCTTGCAGATATTTTAATTTTATTCTCGACCTTTTACCTTGCCATACAAATTTCCTAGTTATCTTATCCAAATCCTTAAAGAATTTTAAATTCTTTATGATTGGTATATTCTGGAAAAGAAATATCATACGTGGTAGCACATTCATTTTAATTATTGCAACTCTTCCTAAAAGAGAAATTTGTAGTTCTTTCCACCTCTCTAAGTCATACTTTATTTCTGTCAGAACTTTCATGTAATTGTTTTTTAAAAGAGTACTACATCTGTTTGTGATATATATCCCTAAATATTTCATTTTTTTACTTACTTCGTAATCCGAAGTCTCTTTAATATATTCTACTGTTTTTACATCACAATTCTTTGTTAAAATCTTTGTTTTACCTTTGTTGACTTTTAATCCCATTACTTTACCATATTTCTCTAGTATTTCTAAAAGCGGAGCCATCGATATTTGTGGGTCCTCTATTATATATACTATATCATCGGCAAATGCTAAAGTTTCGAATTCCTCCCCTCAAACTCGTAGTCCTTTAATCTGTTTACAATCTCTTATCATATCTAACAAAGATTCTAAAACAAAAATAAACAAAAGAGGGGAAAGAGAACAACCTTGTCTTACACCCTTATTTATATCTATATTTTCTGATGTGTCACCATTTATTATTATTTTTGCCTGCTGTTTACTGTATATTGCCTTTACCATCATCAAAAAATTTTCTCCGCAATCCTGTTAAGGAGGAGGAATGACTCTCTGCCCACCTCACCAACTCTGCTGCCTCTTGCTGGGGAATGCTGGGAGTCCCCCCTTGACAATTCACCCGTCCCTTCACTGTTGTGTTGCCTGTCCTCATGCAGACGTTTGCCATCAGAATTCTATCCTGAAAGTGCAGCAGAGCTAACCAGACAGCCCTAAGCTCCAAAGAGCTGATACTTCTAGAGGACTCCAGGTACCTTCAACATGACTCAAGGAACAACGGACTCCCCAGCCCGAGAGACTGGCACCAGTGGCGATCTGCACATCTGCCGTCACCTGCATCAGCTCGCCCCTGAGCAGAGGATCCTCCAATCACCACCATTCTAGGATCTTGCTAGAAGAACAACTTCACCTCTACCTGAGAAGGTGCCGTTTGAGGACAATGGCCTTAGGGAGGTGCGTCATGCCGCTGTCGCCAAGCCATGCAGTTGCGCGAGAAGCATCAAATCCACTGAGTGGGCTGAGCACACCCTTTGAGCTGCAGGCATAATCTTCCTTCCCTTGTCCTGGGGAAGTTTGCTCTGCACTGAGCCTGCTATTGCTCCCAGGTGTAGAACTGCCTGAGAGGGATCGAAGGTGACTCTTATTGAAGTTCGTGAGGAAACCGTGCTGGTCCAGATACCTGTAGGATTATGGCCACATTCTGAAGAGCTTGTGACCTGGACGATGACCTGATGAGCAAACTGTCTAGATAAGGAGGCCAATGCATCCCAGGGTACAGAGTGGAGAACATGTAGGAATGCTTCTGCGAGATCAATCGATGCCATGAAATCCCCTGGGTGAAGGCTATAACTTGGGAGAGTTTCTATCGAGACTATTTTGTATTTCAGGAACTGTTTGAAAAACCTGAGGTCCACCCTCTGCTCTTTTTGAGAACTATAAAAAGGACGGAGTAGACCCCACAGCACCTTTGTGTCCAAGGAACAGGCTCTATTGCATTTATTTTTAGTAGAGGAGAAATAGCATCGCTCGTGTGTTGATTTCGGTGTGGCAAGTGGAACTTCGTGAGGGTAGGATATATGGGGGTGGAATTTGGTGAGGGTAGGTTCTGTGGGAGGTAAAGACACCCTTGGCAGTACCGCCGTGTGGCTGTGTTGATGACTCACCTGTCTGAAGTGGAATTCTCCCAGGCCTGAGAGGCTGCAGGCGCACCCCTCTGCCAGGCTGTGACCCAGCGTCAGCCATGCCACAGGTTGTGGTTATGCCCCTTGGACCGGCCAGATGGTTTAGGCGCTGACTGCGCCTAATGGGAGGCTCTGTGCCCTCGCCGTGGCTTGTTGCAAGTTGACCTCCGGAAATCTCTGCAGAACCTTAGAAGTGTTCTGTGGGTATGAGAGGCCTGGCTGCTGCAGAATTTTAGTTTCTTGCCATCTGGCTTATCGGAGAAGGATTTCATCCACTTGATCTTCAAACTGTTTGCCCCCCAGGAGAGACCAAGAAGCTAGACTGGCTTCGGTGGGAGTGTGAATGACCAATTCCTAAGCCATAGGTTTCTGGGCACTGAGGCTGCTGACGTCACGGCTCACATAGGCAGCTCCACAATGTCTAGGCCAGGATTAGAAACGAACGCAGCCACGCACTCTCATCTGTGAAAATAGCTAGAAGGACGATCACGGGCTCCTGGAAACTCCCTTGAGTGGACTCGTGGGATCAGCACAGGGCTGTGCCACTCTGCCTACCTGTGGAGCCCTTAAGGGAGCCCTCCCTGTCCTTGGGTTGCCCCTGACCTGAGGCCAAGCTGGTCACTGAGGTGCTCATCCACCACGGGGACCTGTAGGAGCCCAGTCACGTTGGCTGGGAAGGAGTAGAAGAGTTTTGCGCGCTCCAAACGCAGTCTCTGGCTAGCTGGAGTGAACCATAGCTTCTACAGTTTGGTCTTGAAGGAGGAAGGGAAAGGGGAAACGGATCCCACATCCCTGGCTCTGGGAAATACCTCAGGGTTGCCTTCCTGATGGTCGTCATCCTCATTTCCCTTGAGAACTTTAGACTGCTCAGCTTTTAGGTGCAGAGAGCTTTGGTGTCGTGGCTAAGTGCGCGGACTAATCTGGGAGAACCGGGTTTGATTCCCCACTCCCTCCACTCGCAGCTGCTGGATGACCTTGGGCAAGCCATGGTTCTGATAAGAGCTGTCCTTGAAAAAGAGCAGTTTCTGTCAAGAGCTCTCTCAGCTCCACCTACCTCACAGGCAGTGTTCCCTCTAAGCTAAGTTAGCGTGAGCTAGCTCACAGTTTTTCAGCTTCTGGCTCACACATTTTTGCCTTAGCTCAGGAAGGATGGCTCCAGAGCAAGCTGATTTATGCAGCAGACAAATCGCATGCTCACAACTTTAATGCCAGCAGCTCGGAAAGTAGAATTTTTGCACAGAAGACTCCACAGCTTAGAGGGAACATTGCTCACAGGGTGTCTGTGGTGGGGAGGGGAATGGAAAAGGAATTTGTAAGCCACTCTGAGACACCTCTGGGTAGTGAAGGGTGGGGGATAAATCCAATCTCTTCTTCTTCTTCTTCTTCCATTTTTTAGGGTTTTTTAGAGAAGCCCCTGAATCTCCTGGGTGGGTGGAGGGTCACTCTTCGGCAACCCCCACCCCCCTTCTGAACCTGCACCGGAGGCATCGGAATAAAACACACAATCCCTCACTATTCACAGCTCCTGACCCTTTCCCTTGCCAATTCAAACCAGGAGAAGGTTTCACTGCTCAACGCTCTGGGCTCAGAAGCGGCTTTGTGTTTGCTTTGTGAGTTCTGGCAAGGGGGAAGGGGGCTCCATCCAGGGCCCTTCGCCAGGTGACAAGAGACAAAGAGAGGCACCCTAGAAAGACAGCCGGAGAAACCCGCAGAGTGCCCTCCTTGCCCGCTCTCACAGGGGAGGAAGAAAAACAGAGGACTGGGTGGGGGGCGCCCCCTCCCACCTGAAGACAGAAAGACCGGCCTACTTCCTGCCCCCAGGGGTGATGGGTAGGAGAGAAGCCCACATGCTCCAGGCAGAACGCCTTCCTACCCTCAACTGAAAATCACAGTTTTCATTTTTATTTTTTCAAGTTTCTAGCTCTCATGGCCAAGATATGCTTGAAAGTATCCGGGCAGGGGGAGCTGCGGTGGCTCAAGTGGTTAAGACGCTGAACTGCAGGCTGTGGAAGGTCAGTAGTTCAGCAGTTCAAGACCCGGGTGCCGCAAGACAGGGTGAGCTCCTGTCTCTAGTTCCAGCTCCTGCCAACCTAGCAGTTCGAAAGCAAGAAATTGCAAGTAGATAAATAGGTACCATTTCGGTGGGAAGGTAACAGCGTTCCATGCACCTTGGTGTTTAGTCATGCCGGCCACATGACCACGGAAACATCTTCGGACAGCGCTGGCTATTCGGCTTTGAAACGGAGATGAGCACCGCAACCCTAGAGTCGGATTCGACTGGCTTTCGAGCAAGGGAACCTTTACCTTTACCTTTACTATCCGGGCAGGGAGGCAGCCGAACAAGATTTTCAGTGCTGAGCGGCACTGTGTTGGTGCCTCACCTGGCTCCTAGCAAAGCTAGAATAAATCAGTCAGAAGAAGAGACAGAAGTACACATCACTGACACAGGTCACAGAATTTAGCTTCTGTATGCAAGAACCTAAACAGCATGATAAAAAGTAGAGACATCACCCTGCCAACAAAAGTCCGCATGGTCAAAGCAATGGTATTCCCAGTAGTCATGTATGGCTGCGAGAGTTGGACTATAAGGAAGGCCGAGCGCCGAAGAATAGATTCTTTTGAACTATGGGGCTGGAGAAGACTCTTGAGAGTCCCTGGGACTGCAAGAAGATCAAATCAGTCCATCCTAAAAGAAATCAACCCTGACTGTTCCCTGGAAGGCCAGAGAATGAAACTGAAGCTCAAATACTTTGGCCACCCAATGAGAAGGGAGCACTCACTGGAGAAGACCCTGATGCTGGGAAAGATCGAAGGTCAAGGAAGACGGGGATGGCAAAGGATGAGATGGTTAGGCAGTGTCATAGATGCAACGAACATGAAATTGAGCCAGCTTCAGACTACGGCGGAAGACCGGAAGGCCTGGCGGGAGCTGGTCCACGGGGTCGCAAAGAGTCGGACTCGACTGTGCAACTGAACAACAATAATGCAAGATGGATCACATCAGCACAGAGTACCCTCAGCACCCCTCACAAAGAGTGGCTGTGCTGGTCCCTGCTGATACACACCGAGTGAAGCAGAAGCTCAAACAGGAGGAGAGGAAGGAGAGGAAGGAGAGGAACGCCAAGTTACAGGCATCACAAAACCACAAGTGGGGGCCTTGTCACTGGTAGCCCCAGAACTCTGGAATGCCCTCCTTTGGGAAGCATCCTGAAAACATTCCCATTTTGCCAAGCTTTTGAGAATTGAACTAGCTCTTACTCTTGGCTGTTGGCATTTTCGTCTGTGGTGTTTTATATTGTTTCCAGGTTTCTTTGAACATTTCAGCATGTGCGTTTCATTTTTTAAATGCCTTGGAAACATTATGGAAAGGTGGAGTACAAGTGATGCAAATAAATAAGCACAGAGGAGCTAATGGTAACATTGAGCTACGGATGTTTATTGTACTCCTTTTATTAGGTAAATTCAGAGTACGTTACGTGGGGCTCCAACAGGCATCCCTGATCACGCGCTTAGACCTACTTACCGCCAACACCACTCCCTAACACTAACGAAAAAGCACAAAAGATTCACTGTAAGCCAAATTCCTAACATTTACTTAGGAACTTGGATTTCTGCCCAGAAGACAGGCCCGTTGCCTGCTACTTGGGTAACGGGGGGGGGGGGCGCATGCGCGGCCTGGCAGAGCCAATTAGCTGGAATCTAGTCAGGGTTTTTTTTGTAGAAAAAGCCCAGCAGGAACTCATTAGCATAATAGGCCACACCCAACACCAGAAACTCATTAGCATATAAGGCCACTCCCCTGACAGCACCGCTCATTGGCACATTAGGCCACACCCACATGTTACCAGAAGTGTGGTCATCCAGCCACACCCACCTTTTGCTCCTTGTTTACCTTGTTTGTTGTCAAAACCCAGGGCTCTTTTTGTAGCAGGAACTCCTTTGCATGTTAGGCCACACACCCCTAATGTAGCCAATCCTAATGAGTTCCTGCTGTTGGGTGTGGCCTATTATGCTAATGAGTTCTTGCTGGGTGTGGCCAACTCGGGAGCCAGATGGAACTCCGTTCCTGCCCAAAAATAGCCCTGAAACTAGTATTTGACAACCGTATTGCTGCCAACTGTTTATTTTTCCAAAATTTGCAGATCTCAAAGTCCAAGAAGCCCCCAAACATATTACACATTAGACAAGACGGCACCTACTTCTCGATGGAGCTCGTTCACGCACTGACACATTTTCAACAGGGCTACTTCCATGTCCTCTGTGGCGTCCCTCCTCTTCTGACTTTGCTGCAAAGACAAAACGACCCAACCCCACAAAATAAATTAATCTCAAGCAATTTAGCTCTTCAGCCAAAATTTCACTTTTTTTTTTTTTTAAAGAAGATCCTTGATTAAGCCGTAAAGCTAAAACCCAACTCCTGCTAAGTGGGCGGTGCAAAGCAGGGTGTTCGTTTCCACTGAACGAGAACCGGGTCCCATTTAAAAAGAAGAGGCGTTTCTACCAGACTGAGCCATGAAGCTTCTGCTCTGGTGTCCCCACAGGCAGCTTAAGACACGGCTGTTCCACCCACGACCAAGAAGAGCTCCGTACTGGCAAGGGAGAGGGAGATGCACTGTTGCGGAGCCTCCTCCGACAGGACCGCATCAGGGAGAAGCGTTATGGGTGCATCAGAGGGCTCTACAAAGCTTTGAGCGGAGCAACAAGTATTGGGGGGGGGGGGGGAACGGGCTGAACTCTCCTGCCAGTTCTCTCCTGCAGGAACTCCTCAGTGGGGATTTAGGAACACTGATGATGTGCATTTCTGCCCCCCCCCCAGCCCACCCCTTTCGGATCACAACACGATTCCAACACTGCTGTTCTATGGACGTGATGCTCCCCGCGATTCACTACGCAGCCAGCTGGCCCCCTAGACAGTGCAATGCAACACACACACACGTGCGTGGGGGCAAAAGCGCAGCCTGTTTTGAGCAGCTGCAGCATTGGTGGCAGGAGCCTGAGCCCTTTTCTGCTGGGGCTGTTCAGTCCCCACGAGGAGAGGAAGCCAACCAGCCATCCAAAGAGACCCTGGACCACGGGCGGAGGCACAACCCCCAGGATGACCGTCGTCTTCACCGTTCTCCTCATGTGGAACACTACTGTTATTATCTCGTAGAGGGTTCTGTGTAAATTGACCCTGAAGTGTATCCATTTCCGAGGAAGCGATCAGCTTACAGCACACATCCATGCCGACAACAGCTGCTCCAGCTGCAACTTGGCTTGCTGGGAGAGCTCCAGGATGCGCTCCCGGTTCTCATGGCTGGTGTAGGCGGAGTCGGTGAAATCCTCTGTGTGCTCAAGGACGACACGCAGCATCGCCCGGAGACTCTCTTTCGACAGAAGGTAAAGGTCGTCTCGCAGACCTTCGACTTTATCCTGAAGAGGGGCAGGGAAGGGGGCAGAGAGAAACACCCACAGTGGAGCTGATTGTGGGGACAAGCCTAAATATGCCTACTCAGAAGTAAGTCCCATTCCGCTCAGTGGGGTTTCCTTCCTGGAATCCTGCATTCATGAATTTAAACCGATACGCTGCCATGCACAAATGCCACCCTGGGGCCTCTCCATGTGTGAATTAACCCTAAAGCTTGACACCATGGTTTCAGGGCCGGCTCCAGGTTTTTTGTACACTAGGCGAGGCTACCTTCTGGCGCCCACCCCCCTGTGCCCACCAATTAGGGGTTGCCAACCTCCAGGCAGGGCCTGGAGAGGAGGAGGACTCGTGGGCGGGGAGCCCAGGACTAGTGTTGGGTGGAGTTTCCGGGAAACCTGCTAAGCGGTTCTCTCTATCTCTCTGTCTCTCTCTCCCCCCACCTCCCGGGTGAATGCTTCAGAGCGCACCTGGGGGTGGGGTCGGGAGGCTGCGAAGAGGAGCCCCGAAACCGGCGCCTGCTAGAACCGACTGCTCCGTGTGTTATGACTTATTGCTGGGGAGAAAGTGGAAGGCATTTCTCAGAGGAACTTACCTTCTAGTTAAGACAACAGCAAGCCCCCCCCCGCCGCCACCACGCACCTCTCCGAAGCCAAAGACCTCCTGCCACTCCCCACACCGATGACGTCTGTGTCTTTACACACACACACGACCCACCCCCCAGGAGCCGCTCTCGACCCCTCATCTGGAGTCCTGCACGCTGGAGGGAGGGAGGTAAGCGGCGGGAGGTGACCCGCAAGCAAGGAAGAGGCATATGGGTTTTAATTGAAGTCTGCCACTTTTTCTTTTCTTCTCAGAATAGTGTGATACAGCAAACTGCTACTTCAGCTGAATTAATTAGAAATATCTTCTGCTCAAAACTCTCTCTCTCTCTCTTTTGCAGTCACTTTGGGATTTTGTCCTTCCCAGTGTGTTTTGCTATTAATTTAGAGTACCTTTAGTTGTAAAAATAAAAGGAGTCTTAAACATTCAGGTGACAGAGGCAGAGAACCATTGTCCCTTTCTACCTATTACCAGGTATCCCTTCTTTAAGCCAGAGACCTGCACGTCCAACTCAGGAGGAGCCCACAGCCCTTCAGCACACAATGGATGTGCCCCTGTGGCTCCCTCATGGCAGGCAGGCCGAATATGGGCGTCAGAAGTTCAGCATCCCCCGCTTGCTAAACACGGTTCTGCCAGCTCCATTCTCTCTGCGGGCATCAACCCTCTGAACGGCCGAGAGGCTGACATTTGACGACGTGACGCGGCATCCGCTGACTGCTACTTCCAGCCACCCACATAAAGACTATATAATACTGTTTGTTCACATCTCTGAAAGAGGTTGCAATACGAGCAAGTTACATTGGGGAGATCAAGGTAATAACCGGGAGGGCATGTGGAAACCAAGGGCACGGCCCCAACCAGTCAGAGGCCGAGGGCTCCCTCTCAGCTGCGGGGACTTCTCGTGAGCAAAAACCCTACTTTGTCAGCTCCTGGCATCGACGTTGTGAGCGAGCAATTTGGCTGCTGCATAAGTTAGTTTGCTCTGCAGCCCTCCTCCCTGAGCGGAGGCAAAAATGTCTGAGCCGGAGGCCCAAGAACTGTGAGCTGGCTCACGCCAACTCAGCTCAGAGGGAACATTGCGGTCAGAGTCAAAGCGGGCACTCGATTATCCAGAAAGTTCAGGCAACTGGCTTTGCCCAGGCGGCCAGCGCCCCCCACCCTGGTCTCCTGCCTCCTGCAGCTGACAGCTTGACGCCTCCTGGCGTTGCCGAGCTTCTGGAAGCGGGTGCTGTCAGCTGGCATCGTCCCCGGGCGCCTCCCTCCTTCCCCTTCGGCCTGCCGTGAGCTGTGGGAAGGCACCTCTGCTGAAGGTCTCCCCAACAGCTGGCCCGCTTGTCTGCCTGCACGAAGGAGGGCTCCGTGGCTTAGGGGAAAGGGTAGAGAAGGAATCAGGGTCACACCAGCAGTAGCGACAGAAAAGAAAAAAAACATATCGAGGCGTAGAAAAAACTTTTAATTATTATTCTTTCTTGATCCCAAGTTCCAGTGTTCCCTCTAAGCTGAGTGAGTGTGAGAGCTAGCTCACAGTTTTTTAGCCTCCGGCTCACTCATTTTGGTCTCAGCTCAGGACGGATGGCTCCAGAGCAAACTAATTTATGCAGTAGCCAAATCACCTGCTCACAACTTTAATGCCCCAGTAGCTCACCAAGTAGGATTTTTGCTCACAGGACTCTACAGTTTAGAGGGAACATTCCCAACGCGTTTCACCTATGGCTTCGTCAGGGTTCCCCCCCGCCTTTCCTGCTGTTAGGGG